CCCCCCACCTCGCTGTCCTCTATGATGCGCTTGAGCTCGTCCAGCACCGCCTGGCTCACAAACGCGCGCTTGCGGATCTCGGTGTCGTTCTTGTAGTTGCTGTTGTTGCGGTAGCGCAGCTGGGGGGAACAAGTTGAGCGCACAGAGGGGCAGGAGGGGCAGTGAGGCAGCGAGAGCAAGCAAAATGGCATGAGACCAAAAATACAACACCATCCTCAAGCACAGCTTGCCAGACGCAGCAGTGGCTCCACTTAGCACAGAAAAGCATGCTAGCTTCTGTGAAGCTGCACATCAACCGACGCCACCATGGCATGTGCCGCGGCCGCGGGCCATGGCGGATGCTTGCCTGTGCTGCACCAGATCCTCAGCATCGCCGCGCCTGCTGCTGCCGGCAGTGGCGCCAAACACGACCGCTGACGCGCCGTGCTGGCCCCAGGCACCTGGCCGCGGCCTGCTGCTGCCTGCACGCATCCGCGCGTGTTGCGCATGCCTTTGCCGCCTCTCCCCGCCCGCCCTGCCAACCCGCTGGACGCCCACCCACACGCACATGCAGGCCCGCGGTTGCGTGCGCGCACCTCGCCGTCGGGCCGGAACTCAAACTCCAAAAACTCGTGGCCAAACTTGCCGCGGTGTCCTGCGTGTCGCGCCACGAGGGGACCGGTTGCACCCAGCAGGCCACAGACAGCACGCAGTTGCGAGCACGCTGGTGTTGAACAGCCATAGCCACATCCGTCGCCCCTGCCCCAACAAAGTGAGACCAAGAACGAGCCCGGAAGGCTGAATAGTCGAAGAGGTGCGCACCAACGTAATAGCGCATGTAGAACATGTCTTGCTGCGCCATGGTTGCAGACACCGCCGCCGCCGCCGGCGCTGCTGCCGGCCAACATCATATGGGCCGCACGGGGGCGAGCGAGCACCTGGGTCAGCCGCCACCTCCCTGAAGCGCGCGCTGGCCGCCACAGCTAAGCCTGCCAGTACCCTTGTGAACGCGCCCACCACAGTGCAAAGCTAGCAAACGCGCGCGAGCGCACGCCGCCGCTGCTGATGTGCCTCGCCCCTGACGGAGCGCCCACAGGTGCTGGCCTCTTAGCACGGGCATCATCACCGCCACAGCGCCACGCACGTGCCCTGTGCACGGCGCCTGGCGCCTACCTTAGGCAGAGATCAGCGCTCCGAGCACGCGGGCCAGCCCGCGGTCGAGCAACGCCTCCTACAGCCAAAAACTACGTTGTTTCTTGAGTTTGGGTTGAGAGGGGGAAAGAAGCCTCCGGCAGCTGCCAGCCCCGCCAATGTGATCTGAAAGGTGTTGAGTCGAGCGGCGCTTCGTCCGTGAATGCGTTCAAGCTTGTTTGTCAGTGTGAGATAACGGGTTGTATCCAGGCCGCGATCCTTTCTTCCGGCCGGCCCACATTCCCTTCGAGCAGCTCCTGCACCACCTGCTGCCGATGTTGCTCTGCGTTTGCCTCATCAGAAAGCGAATCAGGCCCGCAGTTGATTGCATTGGTGTGTTGTGCAAGTGCTTCACCCATTGCGGGTACCGTAGCGGCGAGCGCCATGCGTGACAGGCGGCGGCAAACAGCTAGTGCATATCGAAACAAAGAGCCTGCAGGCAAAGAGCGTTGTGGATTGTATGCATCAGCAATGCAGCGTACCACATTTTACGTTGGCCGTCGTGCTGGGCATCCCCCAGGAGGGCTGCCGGCACAAGCACCACCTCACCAGCAGGCCTCGGGCATGAAGTTGCCGTGTTTGAGTAGCGGCGGCATGGTGCACCGCCAGGGCTAAATGCCTAGCCAGCACCCTTGTGAAGAAAGCTCCCCACCACGACAGCCAGCAGCTTCCCGCCAGGACAGTAGGGCGCTCGAACACGTAAGCGAGCATCACTATCTAGAAACAAGCCGGCCTCTGGCGGCACGACGTAACTGCTGGTGTTGTCACTACTGATGTATTACTTATTTTGGCCGCCCCTCACGCGTCGTCGTCCTGCAGTAGCAAGTCGCTCTTAGTCCCTCCATTGCCTGACCAAAAAACGTCCCAATCCATGCACCAAATATTGCATGCGGATTAGGCTATTGCGCCACAGGATTCGGTCGCAACCCCCTGACTAACGCTATGCAAGGCCTTGGCCACCTGAGCGCACGGCAGGCAGAGCTGGTGCTGGCCCCGAGCGCCTAGCACATGCATGCATGCATGCATGCATGCATATGCAGGGCAGGCGCCGCAGCCCAACCTGCCGCACGGATGCGCATCACGGCAGCATGCCTCCGTAAAAGAATCTCATGCCTCAGTCCTGCAGCCACTCCACTGACAACTGCCACATGCCCCGTCCTCGCGGGCTCAAGTGTGTGCTTTCACATGGTGCATACAAGCATGCGGCGCGCCCCCCAGGTTCCACAGCAAGAGGAGGCTGCTCCTCTGTGATTGCGACCTGGCCTCACATGCATGCCTAGGTACCATGCCCACATCAGGCGCCAGCTTGGAGGACGTCCACGCACGGCGCATTGCATGGGTCGACGACATGCGTGGGTCAGGCATGCCCACCAATCAAACGAACAGTTGGAGAAGCTGGAGGTGAAAACAAGTATCATACACAATCCTGGCTTCCTTAGTCAAAGATACAAGTTGATTACCCCCATTGACAGCATATACCCGACCCGCCTTCTTGTTTGTGATGATGGCAGACGTCTGTGCACACTGTTTGCGTTCAAGCAACCCGCAGCAATTGCTTGTGACCGTCTAGGAGCAACAGCATGGCGGTCAGGCCGGCAGGGGGGCCCCTGCACAGCAAGAGAGGGTGACAAGCGCAGAGGTACAAGGGGGTTCTACCGTCCTACAGTACCATTGAGTGGGGCATCGGCGGGACCCATTAAATTCCTGTACGCTGGCACCCCACATTGTGGAGCTATGATATTGCGTAGGGTACAGAAGGCTACGTGACTTGTTCAAAATTGTTTGATGTGTCTGTCAGGTTTTCAGAAGAGACGCGAGCGATCTTCGCAAAGTCAAAGCCAGATCACAACATGAGCTCAGAGCTGGTGTTTGCACAGGGGAAGCGTGACAAGTTCAAGCCGTATGCTCTCAATTGCAGGCGCTGGTACAAGTGGGGGCAGGCGTACGATGACGAGCTCGATGTGACGCGGGCGATCGCGCTGCACATAGACAGCAACAAGGGTGAGATACAGTATCTGAGACGACACATGAACAATATTAATCGGCTTGTGCGGCTGTCTTGGGCATGCGCTTGCATACTGCATATTGGCCGGCGCACGTGGCGCTTTTGAAAACAGTGCCCATCGCTGAGCCGCAGGTGATGACCAAACAGTGCTTGTTTTCAAGTGCCAGGATAGCACAGGAACGGAAGGGACCACCAAGGTGAGTGCTGGCACGCAGCGCTGTGACAGGTCGCATGAACACAAAAGAAGTGCGTAGCACTGCAGGTGTGTCAGGTGATGGTCATCAGCGGCAGGTCTGCCCATGCTCTGTCCCTCATACGCAGGTGTTGCTCATCCGAGGCGGCCGTGAGACGCCATGGCTGCGGCTGCGAATCGATTCTCGGCTTCTGCCGCCCCCCAGCCAGGCCTACTGGCGGGCCTCGTTGCTGACAGGCGAAGGGGGCGCCAGCATCGCAGTCCAGGGCATGGCTGCGCTGCCGGGGGAGGATCAGGATCAGGCGGATGCAGAAGGTGCAGAGTGTGCAGCAGCTAACCGAAGCACAATCAGCCACGGTCAGGAGTCTCTTCATGGGCAGCGGGTGCAGCTACAGCCATTGGCAGAGCTGGTGCAGCGCGTGTGGGCTCTGCGCGGCCACCAGCAGCTGGGCCGCGTGCAGCCGCTGGCAGCAAGCGACGGCAATGATGCAGGCGCAGGCGGGGGCGATGGCGGGCAGCGGACGGCGCTGAGCCAGGCCGCTCAGCGCAAATGCACTCGGCAGGAGTATAGGGTGCTCGGCATTGAGATTAATCTGGACCCAGAGGTGCGCATGTATACGGCCTGGCATGCTGCCCAGCCGATTCCAACCGCAAGATTGCTGCATGGCTGGATCTTGGCAATGCCTCTTTGCACCTTGTGTTTCATCATTCCTGATATTCAGCCTTAATGCTCACGGCATGCAGTTCGCCAAACTTGTGGACGACATTGAGGCTGTCAAGGCGTCTGTCCGGCAGCAGCACCAGCAGAGCCAGCAGCAGCCAAAGCAGGAGCCTGCGGTGAGCTTCAAGAATTTATTACGCCCATGGCACGGCCAGTCCTTACATAAATGGAGCAAGGCACTCATGCACACACTCATGTGTGCAGGCACCTGCATGCATGTGCACACACATGTTTTCACATGTAACCAGATGCCTGCCTGCTCACGCGTTGCGATGCGATGCGATGCGCGTATGCTCACAGCACATGCAGGCCTGTTTGTATCCTTACAGTAGTCCACAAACGCACACACACGTGCACCCAGGCGCAGTGCAACCCCACCTTTAATGCTTTTGTGTATTTTTGCATGTGCCTGTGCATGTGCATGGGCATGTAAGTCTGGATGTAAGTGAGTGTAGATTACAGTGTGCTTCCAACCTTGACCCTCATGCACTTGCTCTCCCTGCAACTCACACAGGGAAATGCAGCGGGCGCACCAGGGGCGGCAGCCGGCTCAGCTGCTCCGCACAGCCTTCCAGCCAGCTGCCCGCCAGCCAAGCCCGTTCTCCCACAATCTGTGCTGACCACTGCCGAGACAGGGCCAAGCGGTAGAGCAGCATCAGTGCCGTGCTGCGCGGCAACGCCGACGACTGCCAATGCAGCGGCAGGTGGACCATTGCACAGCACTAGGCGTGCTGCGCAGGTCGACCCGGGGGGGTTGCCATCTGGCGCACAGGCGTGTGAGCCGCACGCAGCGGCAGATCCACCCGCGGGGCCTGGGGCCGCATTGTGCGCAGCAGCAACAGCAGCAGCCCCAGCGGCCCCAGCGGCCCCAGCAGCCCCAGCGGCCCCAGCAGCCCCGGCAGCAACAGCAGCCCCTGTCGCGCCGGTCGCGGCAGCAGCAGATGCAGTGCATCCGCCTGTGGTAAACAGCGCCCCACGGTGGCCTATGCCGGCTGCGACATCAAGCCCGCTGGACCTTATGGCATGGCATGTCGGGTGCAGCAACCAGGTGGCTCTGGCGAAGGCAGCAACAGCAGCGATGCACTACATGGCGGCGTTGGAATCTTCAAGCTCTTCGCCATGTGGCGCCGCAGCCTGCTCAGAGGGCAACATGGGGGGCTGCACGGCACCCATCGGCATGTGTCGGCTGGACACCGGCGTGCTCGTGGCCAAAGACAGTGAGTTGTTGAAATGTGGCTGCTGTTGACAATCGAGTGCTCTTTTGGGAGTTGCTTTGCCACAGGGTGATCCGCAAACCTGGCCTCTGAGGCAGGCTTGCTCACACGTAAAGTACCCTTTGACTCATGAACCCTCAGCCCTTGTGCAATGCAGCCCTTGGCGCCGGTTCGATTGGACACGTGCGCATCACAAGCCGCGCGCACGTCAATGGTGAGTGGACTTTGTTGGGAATCAAGGGTCGCCGACTGGGGCCATTTCACCTGGCAGGCGCAGCGTGATTTGCGCGCAGGCCCGCATTGATGAGCCTACTGTGTTGACGTGCGAGCTGGCTGCGCCATAACGTCTCTGCCGCACCTGCGCTCTAACATTCGGTGTGCCTGACAGAGGTGTACTTCCAGGGCATCAGCGGCCACATCACCATCCCCTCGGACCAGCCACCCATCGCCGGCCGCCCCGGAACATGCGCTGTCTACCGGGGCACTTCTGAGTGCGTGGGGCCGGGCGACGGAGTGGAGCAGGCCTACCCCGTGGCTGTCAAAGTGGACAGGTGCCCCTGGAGGCTGGAGCGGGTGCTGGCCTACATGCACCACATGGGGGACATCTGCCCCGCGCTCGCATCGTCCCCCTGGCTGATGACAGTGCTGCGCACCGAATTCCACTACAGCAGAGAGGGGCTGCGGCTCCTGCAGGTGCAGCCGCTGGGGGAGAGGTCGCTGCGGGAGCTGATGGCCGGCTACCAGCAGGGCCCTCTGCTGCCTGACCTGAGGCGCCCAGTGAAAGAACCACGCTCATTCGTGGATGCGTCTCGCACGGCGGCACACCCGGATACCTCCTACGACACCTACCTCCTGCGCCACGCGGGCGGCGGCATGCCCTGGCGCGAGGCGCGGCTCATTGGGCTGCAGCTGCTGCAAGGTATAGCGGACCTGGAGCGCATTGGCGTGGTGCATACCGACATCAAGCCGGACAACGTCGTCATGCTGAACGGCCGGGTATGTAGGGCCGGCTTTGAGGAGCAAGAGAGGTCTGAGTTCTGAGCTGCAGGGTTGTTTGGGCGCCCGAAAAAGGGGGCTTGTCGCGCTTAAGCATGTCACCCTTTCAATGTTGGGTTGGGCTGCAAGGGTTACCATCGCTCCTTGGGTGGCTTCTGAAACACACACACATGCCATATGCAGTTGTTGTGCTCAATGCCTCAGGCGCAGTCTCCACGATCACCTCTGCTGTACAGTACTGGCTTACCACTGTGGCCCCTCAAGCATGCATAGACTCCTGCATGATTGAAACTCCCTCGTCTGCCTTCACTGGACTGTAATCGCTGTGGATGCAGGCCCTGATAACCGACTACGAGACAGCCTACCTCACAGCATGATAA